AATGAAAATGCCATTATAGAACTACTTAGATAGCCATAAATTGCTACAATAATAGAAAATTCACAACTTGTAATTCTTTCATTGGTAAAGATGACCTTACTTCCACATTTGACCCCTTTTTATCTTGCGTCACTTTAAGCTCCATAAGTGCTGATCATCTTTCAATTCTTTCTTTGGATTCTTACCTTCTTGATTCTTGGCTCTCCTTCTCCCTACACCTCCTGATCTTTATAAACACTCACAATTTTTCATCTGTATAATTATTTCAATTGTTAGGCTAAATTCTACTTCTGGAACATTTTTCTCTGACAATCTTTGACATTTACCTTATAACATGCAGTATATTTTCCCTATTAATCTCTAAATAACAAAGGGATAATTTATATCTGTTTTGTTTTATTCACCATTACATCCTCATAGCCTATCACAGTGTCTAGAACGGAATAGGGGCATAAAGAATAATAAATGAATGAATGAATGAATGAATGAAAAGTTGAGCATGCCAATAATTTTTTTAATTACTGAGTATGTAAAGGTGAATAGTGTCACCAGAACGGGTATTTCATGTTGAGGATAAGTAAAATACAAGGTTGATTTGGTGTAGATGGGGAGCAGATATTATTAAGTAGATATTATTGAGATTCATGAATATTAATTACAAAATATAATATCAATGATAGTAGAATGTATATGCTATATTAATACAAATTGAGAATTCTTAAGAAAGAGTCAAATGATAAGAGGAATATATGAGGAAATTGGTTAATTTAATGTTGAATAACTTTGAGGGTAGCTTGTATAAAAATGCAGGAACAGTTTCAAAATCTTACTTAAAATTGTCAGGATAGCCATCGTTATGGTTTTGGTTTAAAATATTCCTTCAGAGTCTCGTGTTCAGAGATGGGGCCTGGTTGTCAGAGTTGAGTCACTGGGAGAATGACCTATAATGGTGTATTCTTCTCCCTGGCACTTCCTCTTTCTATTTCTCTTCTTTGTGGCCTCTCCCATGCCATTCTTCCCTGGAACCAACCAACTATAGACTGAATCCTCTGAAAACTGTGAGCCAAAATAAACTTTCCTCCTGTGAGCTGTGAATGTTGTATATTTTGTCAAAGTGATAGGGAAGGACTAGGTTTTGGTACTAGGAATGGGGTTGTCACTGCAACTGTACCCAACTATGTGATTCAGAAACCTCTAGAACTGATTTACAGAAAAGACTTTGGAAAAGTTTGGAGATATAGACTAAAGAAGCCCTAGATTGTGAGCAGTGCTTGATGTGCAGTACTGATAGGAGCTCAGAAGACTAGAATGCTGATAGGAATGTGTACAGTGAAGGCCAGGCTCAGGAAGTTTCAGTTGGGAATCAAGGGCTTCATTAGCCATTTGACTAGAGGCCATATGTATTACATTCTGGCAGAAAATCTGTGTTCATTTTGCCAGTGTCCTGAGATTTTTGTGAGAGACTGAGATTGAGGGCAGTGGACTAATTAATATGGCAGAGAAAATCTCAAAGCTTCTAAGTGTTCAGGTTGTAGTATGGATACTGATGGCCCCTTTCAGCTAGATCAGGAGAAAAAAAATTAAAGTTGAATGATTTGATAAACTTGAAGCTTGGCCAGAAAGAAATAGCTGCAAAGTCTGGGCCATAGAGGGCATGGTTGTTGATAAAAGATTAAGATTGAAAAAAAGCCAAATACTTTGCACCAGCAAGATTTCATTCATTACAAGCTCAAAGGTGCAACAGTGTAAACATTTCATTTGGAAAAAAAAAAAAGCCTGTGGGCACCCTTAAGGAGAAGGGCTACAGGAAAATTGATTCCTCACTAAGCATTTCCACATACTCCACCATCTAAGCACTCAGACACTGCTGGAGCCACGGTGGGAATGGAACAGCTATTGTTCCTACTGAAAGTAGACCAAGGCATTATCCATGTGGTGCTGGTTTTGCAGGCACGAAGAATGCAAGAATTATAAGGTCATGGATGTTTTCATGCAGATTTCAGAGGACGCCCTGGGAGGTCAGGGAAAGACCTTCTGAAAAGGCAAAGCATGAAGCTATGAGAGTGAAACTGGAAGTGCAGTGGAGACCCCAGAATGTTGGAGGTGCCAGGAAAGGAGAAGGTATGCTGAGGAAAATCTCAGGAAGTGGAGAGCCTGCCCAAGAGAGAAGCCATGTGGGCTGCAACCTGAAAGGCCAAAAGGGCTAATCTACTCAGATCTTTGGGCCCTCACATCTCACCACAACCTGTCCCAGGTGTTAATCCTGGAGTTATAGAAATTAATGTCTTCCCTGTTGGGTTACATTTGGTCTAATTTCGTTCTATTGCACATTACTTCCTTTCATAATGGAAACATTTACACTGTGCCATCACGTTTTGGAAGTATTTAACTTTTTTCTTGATCATCATAGGGACTCACAGCTCAGAGTTTGTCTTGTGTTTCAGAGGAGATTTTGGACTTAGATATGTAGTGATACTGGAACTATTAAGACTGGCGTTTTTTAGAGATGGGCTAAATGCATTTTGCATAATGAGATGGGCATGAACCTTTTGAGAATGAGAGGTAGAATTTTATGGTTTCAACCTAAACTCTCCTGCTAGAAGTGTCAGATGTTTGGAAGTAGGGCCTGGACGCAAGGGGTGGATCACTGAGGGGTTACCTGGAAGGGTATATTGTTGTCCCCATCTCTTTCCATGCTCTGCTTCCTGACAGCCATGAAATGCCCTACCACTCTGCCTCACAGACAACCAACAATGGGCTGCACTCTCTTAAAACTGTGAGCCAAATTAAATTTCTCCTCCTTCAAGTCACAGGCTGTTAGATATTTTTGTCCCATGACAAGACAGGGATTAATAGAATCCTAATAGCTTATCTTATTATTTCTTGCAAATTTAGTCACATGTAATGAAATGTTGTGATTTCTCTCTGGTGTACTATATTTCCTCATGTAGCCCTCAGATGCTTCAATGATACCTAATATTCCCTTTTATCTTAGAAAATTTTCCATTAGTTTTTTACCTAATTTGTATGTAGGGTCTACATTATAATGTTATATTAAGAGCTTCATTTCATACATATATTGAAGTTACTATATTCCATTAGTTTGTTGATGGTGATCATGATATAGCATGGAAGGACACAAAAAGTCAAGAGTTCAAAACTGTCTCAAGAAATACATAGCAACTACAAAATATTCAGAAATATCAATTTTTTCACTTCTCATGAAAGCATTGATATCACCCATGTAATAAGAAATGGGCTGCCAAATATAAAGACCCGATTCAAAAATGGACATCCAAAATGAACAGACATTTCTCAGACAAAGAAGTAAAAGCAGCAAGAAAATATTTGAAAAAATGTTCCATATCACTGGTCATTCGAGAGATGCAGATGAAAACAACACTGAGATTCCACCTCACCCCACAAAGAATGGCTGCTATCAAGAAATCATACAATAACAAATGTTGGCGGTGTTGTGGGGAGAAAGGAACCCTTCTCCATTGTTGGTGGGAGTGCAGACTGGTGCAAACACTATGGAAATCAATATGGAGATACCTCAAGGAGCTTGGACTGGAGGTTCCATTTGACCCAGCCATCCCTCTGCTGGGTATCTTTCCAAGAGAACTAAAAGAATCATATCA